GATTCCATGTACTATGTAGATATCATTTAGGCTGACTTGCTCTGGTTTCTAATTTTAGAAAAATTTCTTTTAAATAAAAAATAAATAAATAACCAGAAAAATAATAATAATAATAATAATTAATAAACTTTTAAAAATAATAAAATAAAATAAAATATTATCTTAAAATTATAAAATTATAAAATTATAATAAAATATTATAAAATAATAAAATTAAAATAAAATAATTAAATCAAAATAAAATATTATCTTTAAATTTTAAATATTTAAATAATTTTAAGATAATTTCACTAGATCAAAATAATTTACAGATAATTTCACTATATTATTTTAATATATTATCTGAAAATATCTCAAAAAATATTTATTATTTATAATTTTAAGATAATTTTAATATATTATCTTGAAATTATAAAGAATAAATAGTTTTTGAAAATAATGAAATTTTAAAATCCAATTTTATGCACACAACTTCAGTCCAACCCACATTTCACCAATCCAACAACAAATCCAAACATCAAATCAAAAAAAGAAAAAACAAAGAACAAACAAATAAAGAAACAAATTCAAAAAGCTAACAATACAACCCAACACATGCAACCCAATACATACAAACTCAAAAAGCTAAACAGAAACACAAAACAAAGCACCATATTATAAAAACAACTGATTCAATGCAATCTTAGCGTCGAAAGCGTTACAAAATAAAATTTACATTCCACATTCATGCAACATCTAAAACAAAATCCTACAAACAATCCAGTTTTACACACACACATACAATCCAATAGTATACAGATAGATTATGTTGATATGTAATATATCATAGAACACAGAATCTTTTTATAAATGTGGTTTGAGCACTATGCTTTCTCAATTGAGTTCCATTGTTTGCTTTAATAAAGCTCAAAAAATGGGCTACAATCACTAAACTACATATCAATTTCACCTATTATTATACACAATGTGCTTATAAAAACCAAGTTTAGATTTTTTGCTACTCACTGCAGCATTTCAGCAATATCTTAGCAATATATTTCAGCAATATTTTCACCACATCATAAAATATTCTTGGAATGGATTATCATAAAATCTCACGCTTAATACAACGCTCTTTCAGTTCATCACGAATCCAAGCATTAATATCATAGAATATTTGTTGGTTTGCTTACAAAAACTAGGTCTAAGGTTTTTGCTTTTCACCGCAAGATTTCAGCATTATCTCAGCAATATATTTCACTGCAATATTTCACCACAATATTTCAGCAATACTTTCACCACATTATAAAATATTCTTGGGATGAATTCCAAGGATATCATAAAATTTCATGCTTAATACAATGCTCTTTCAGTCCATCACAAATCCAAGCATTGATTTGATGGATAGAATCAGAACTCCAGCCTCCTTGAAGAAATTTACAAGCATCTTAAAATTGATTATAGTTCCTAATTTCCAATATTTTTGAGCATTAGAGCTCCACCCTCCTCTAAGATATATAGGTGCATCTTAAAATTGAATATAGTTCTTGATTTTCAATATTTTCAAGTAGCAAGATTGTAAGCCCATATTGCTGCTTCTTTCTCGTCATAAGCTCCCAGTGGGATAACAAAGAAATTTTAGTCCACAATCAAAACCTCCCAAAAGCTAATCTACAATGAAATTCTTATGAAATTCTAAATGTAAAGCACAATGATAATTTGCAATTCATAAATTTGTGTATAGCATAAATTCAAACAACTTGTTGAGCCTTCTCCAATGTATTGTACTTGCATAGGCTAGATATAGATTGGAAATTACCAAGATACACACTGAATACATTGCTCTTATTCGAAACACAAAAGCCTTTCCAATATCTACATGATTACAATATGAAGTGCATAAATCCAAAGAGGAGAAAATCAATATGAAATGCCATGAAAAATGCCCTATAGAACTCCCCAATCAACTATAAAATGGATTGTGCACTCCATAAAACATGAACCTTTTTTATGAAAACTAAGGCCCATCCATGTGGTGAAGGAGAGCCACCACTTGTCTCCTTGAGTGATCTTAATAGATAAGTATTTTTAACAATAATTTAATACTTTATAGATATATAAATAGATGTCAAATATATAATTATAGATTATATATAATATATAATCTATACTTATTTTCCATATAATATATATATCCCGAATATATAAGATCATATATAATATGATATATATAGATACCATATTATATATATATATATATATATATATATATTTATTTATATATATTTGTATATATAATATATTTATATATATAATATATTAGTATTCTTGATGTATTATATATTATATAGTTTATAAAATATATGTAGAATTTATATATTTCATCTAAAATATATATATATATAGTTATTCATATATATGATATATTATAATATTATAATTTATATATTTATATATAAATATATAAATATATTATATATAAATTATAAATTTATATATTTGACATCTTTTTATAGAAATATAAATAGATAATTATAGTATTTTTAACAATAAGTATTCTTAACAATGACATGGATTCATCTAGATTTATTTTATTTCATCTAGATGAACCCGTGTTGTTGTCACAAAAAGTTTGACTAAAATGAAGCTATTTTTGTGAGTCAAAGAATATTTTTCAAATTCAAATACAATAAAATACAAATAGAAAGAAAAAAGTTACACAATGGAGTTTTCATGTATGAAGTAGGATAATTAAATCCATGTTGTTGTTACAAATAAAAACTATTTATGTAACTATGAAGATAAAAACTATAAAAAAATTAAATGTTCTTGAAAAAAATTAAAATAAAAAAAATAAAACTAAAACTAAAACTAAAAATAATAAAAAATAACCAATAAAATTTAAAAATGAATGAAAAAATAAAAAAATAATAATAATAAAACACAATATTATCTAAAAAATAAATATTATAAATTTTTAAAATATTAAAAATGATAAATATTAAAATAATAAAACACTATCTTAAAATCATAAATTATGATACATAATTAATAGTTTTTGAAAATAATAAAATTTAAAAATACAATTTTATGTACACAACTTCAGTCCAACCCACATTATTCTAGTCCAACAACAAATCTAAACATCAAAAAATAAACAAAACAAAACAAAGAACAAACAAACAAACAAACTCAAAAAGCTAAACAGAAACACAAAAACAATTCCGCATTCATGCAACATCTAAAACAAAATCCTACAGACAATCCAGTTTGACACACACACATACAACCCAACAGTATTTGTTTTTGAAAATAAAAAAAAATTAAAAATCCAGTTTTATGCACAGAACTTCAGCCCAACCCACATTTCACCAATCCAACAACAAATCCTAACATTAAATCAAAAAAACAAAACAAAACAAAACAAAGAACAAACATACAAACAAGCAAACTCAAAAAGCTAAACAGAAACACAAATTTTTCAATATTTCAGCAATACTCACCGCAACATTTCACTGCAATATCATAAATATCATAAAATTAGAACTCCAGCCTCCTCGAAGAAAGTTCCACCAGACAATTGGAGTAAATGAATACATCCGTAAAAACAGCAATTTATAAATACAAAAGTTGATTCGAGCAGCAAGATCGTAAGCCCATGCTGTTGCTTTATCCCTGATGGGATAACAAAGAAACCTCCCAAAAGCACGATCCACAATGAACCCGTATTGTTAATCCACGATGAAATTCTTCTGAAATTTTGATTGCAAAGCACAATGACAATAATTCGTAATACATAAATTCGACAAAACACCAATGTTCGAAACCAATTTTTGAAACACACAGAACACATTGCTCTTACTCGAAACACAAAACTTAAATACAGGTTGAGCCTTCCCCGATGTATTTGCCTTTCCAGTGTCTATATGATTGCATCATAGTATGAAATGCATAAATTTGAGGAGGAGAAAATCAGTGTGAAACACCATGAAAAACACCCTGTAGAACTCTGTGATCAACTGTAAAACGGATTGTGAACTCCACAAAACATAAACGAAGGCCCATCCATGCGGTGAAGGAGAGCCACCACTTGTCTCCTTGAGTAATCTTAGTATAGAGATAGTAAGTTCTCTTGTTGACTTCTCTCAAAGAAAAGAGTTTAAGAAGAAAAGAACACAAGCACAAAACACTCTTATGGCCTCTCACGTAGAAGCTAAGAGTTAACCTTGCTCATACTTGAGCTTGGTTCTAATGTTCTTTATGCTCTCATACCATGAAGGTATTCAAGTGAGGATTGAAATCCAAAAGATGAAGAGTCTAGCTCCTCACCATGCTTAAATACTCTTGGTATCATACATTATACTGAATATATCATACTCAATGTATGCTCTGTATTTCACTACATATTCTCCTTTGGTACACACATACGGAGTACGTATAATATTGACTATATATATCCTACAAAGTGATATGTATTGAATACGTAGAGTAATGCCTACATAGAGTCTAGTGAGTATATATGTATAATAGTGTATAATGATTAGATAGGTAGTGGCCTAACTTCGTAGAGCTATGATTGTACTAACACGGTACTTGTTTCCAGCCTTCTCCATTCGGCATAAAACATCGCTTCCTGTGAAAAGATAGTTTTGGTGTCCTAGTTCACAAGTAGACTGGTATGATGTAAGTGCCATTTGTAAGGACAAACAAAACTGTCTGAATTAGGAAGATACAAAATGTCTAGTCAAATCATGCATATCTTTAAACTTCCAAAAAACGTGTGCAGCATACTGTAACAGCATTCAGTGTAATTCTGAAACTTAAATTGCCTGGAATTGAATATCAGTAACAATGCATATGCTCCAACAATTCATCGCACTGAATGTTCACCTACAATTCATGTGTACAGCATTGCAAGCAACTGCTAAGTCATTTTATGGTTTTCGAGTTGTGGATGTTTCTTGCATCAAACCACTCGGATGAAACCTCAACAGAAACAAAAACAAAAATAACAGAGCCTCTCGAGTTTCCAAATGTACCATTAACCTTTATAAAAGTCCGAAGCATAGTGTTAAAAAATACATGGAGTACATAGCAGGTTGTCTCCACAAAAATCACCAATATGATCTGTAGCTTGCGTACATAGGTGACCACTTATGTCAAGCACTCTACACAACTTCAAGAGCTTCGATCATGACAACACTGTTCCCTCGTATAACCTACAGACATGATGCGTCCAATTAGATCATATCAAAACCTCCATAAATAAGAACCCATACGGGAATACAAAGGATGTAAGTAGACATAATGTTCACGTTAGTGTTAACACCAGAGTACACAAACTGGTGGAAGAAGACATACCACCATGCCGATTTCATTTTTCTCAGCACCTTGAACTTCAACGGTGTTGTCCAGCACGAGGTTCATGAATTGGTCAAACCCGCGCAGAACTCCAACGACGTTCCTGCCAGCATTGAGCTTGACTACAGAGCACCAACACACAACTTTATATTTGCATCAATAAAAATACTCAACGTCATTCTGCAATAGGAGTTATCTGGCTACTCAATCTGTTAATCTTGTGCGGCAATATTTCGGACTTATGAGGTTGAAAGATTATTCCCACACCTCACAAGATGGTGCTCCACCCCTGTAAACCCATGACCAATTTTCTAACTTCATAAAGTCTTCAATTTTGTCTCCTGACGATGAATGAAAGACCAATTTCGACTCTTTATCATGCATGCCAACACCAAATTAGGGTTCCTATAATGTCATTCGCATCAAAAATGATGCGCTGCGAAGCAACGTCCTCTACAATAGGTGGCAAGACGTACTGTTCAGTTTCCTGTCCATGTACTTCTTCAGGTCTGGAGGTTGACCCGACTTGCTCATAGTGAACGGAGACGAAATAAAATTCTTGAAACCACCTGTGCGCAACATTTTGGTCAGCACATAAAATGGCGTGCATATTCCAAGAGCTCTAAAAAGCACTCACTACACGAATGATAACATCGGGCACTAACCATGACATCCCTCCTGACAACAACACAAAGATACATTGAAGTCTAAATCAAGCCGACACCATGACAAACAACGACCAGCTCTGCATCCAAAACGCTACACAACCTACAGCGTCCAAGACCACAGCCAAGAACTGGAAAATGGCTCTCTCTTATACACAATCCTAATATCCAACTACAAAACCACGTGCTCGCAAACCCCAACCCCCTCCAGCGGGCTAAAAACACCACCAAAACAAACAATCAAACCCGAAATTGCAAGAAAGCCGAACAAAGAGAGCAAAAAAAACAAAAAACATAAACAAAAAAAAATTAAACCTAGCAAGCGAGCGGGCGATGGAGCGAGCGAAGAGACGGTTGCAGCGAGAAGAAAGCAGGGCACAGTTGGAGGCGAAATTAATCGCGGCGAAAGGCAACTCCAGCAGCATTAAGAGAGAATAGACTACATTAGAGTAGGGAGTGTGTCTGTGCGAGAGCACTGTAGTAAAGTGAAGTGAAGCACAAGACTCACCTCGGTCCTTGTTTGTTTGTTTGTTGGTTGGTTGGTTTTATTTATACAAAGAAGGGGTCGTGGGTGATGTTTTAATTGAATGAAGATGAAGGGGCATTGAGTATTTGCTCTTCATGGTGTTGGTTTAAGGGAAAGCAAATAGATCGAGAGAAGTTTACATCCAAACTACTCATTGTTTCTATGTGGCTTCTGTGTGCATGTTTCTTTATGGATGATGAGGTTATTAGATGGAGCTTGATATTATTTTATTTTTTTGCTGGTTTGGAAGCCTAGAATTTTACTATCTCGTTTCAATATATATATATATATATATATATTTATTTTGTTTTTTTTTTTTTTTTTTTTGAATTCTTTTTTCTTTTTTCTTTTTTCTTTTTGTACATAATATTTTTGGTGTGTGCTTGTGCATTTGCAATTAAATAAGACTGTATTGAAATTTAAGTAAACAAGTTACTTTTATTTTTCTAATTATAAAAGTAATTTTTATTTTTTTATAGACATTAATTTCTAAGTAATAGTTAAAAAGTGTAAAACCTATTGAATTTGTACAATGATATGTTTGTAAAATTAAATTATTTTTATAAGAAATATTATTAAGTTCTTATTTTTTTCTAATTTATATCTAACTTAAAATATTGAGATAATTTAATTCCAAATTTGAGAAACTTACAAAAGTTTATAAGATTTATGGAGAATTATTTTTATTTTATATGGTATAAAGAAATGACATATAGATTATACATCTACACAAGTTTGTACCTTCTATATGTTTACATGTATCTTTCTATATATTACAAACTACATTAGGGTAACTTCATTGCATACTTGAAAATAAAACCAAATAACTTTTTAATTACATTAGAAATTTAATTAAAATATAATTTGTTGTTTCATTTATTATAGATTCTATTCTATTTAAAAATATCAATTAGTTTTTAATTTATTATATGTAAACATACATGTATTCTCTATTAAATCTATCAAATCTTCATCAATATATCAAAAGTATATTTTAAGGTCAAATATTAAGTCTTTTACTATAAAATAGGTGAATATCTTCTTTGCCAAACTCTTATACTTTAAATCTTACAATCATTCATACTATTTTGATAAAATCTTCTACCCTGAACTTAAGATTGTTTGAAGAGGAATTGTTTTGTAAAATTTTAAATATTTCCAATTCATACTAAATTATTTTAGATTGCACACTAAACTTGAATGTACTAATTGAAGGTAGCTTTAGCAAAATGTACCATGTACTTACTTAAATGCTAACATAATGAGTATGCATTTGAAAGAAAAATACTACAATTTAATCATCCATTAATTAACGGAATATAATCTATTCTTCTATTTTAGAGCATGTACACTTCTATTTATAAGAATTTATTTTTTCTAAAATATAAGTTAATAAGATGGTTTTAGAAGGTTTTGCCTTATATAAAGAAATTAAATTCTTCTTTTAGCTTCTTTCTACATCAATAACCGAAGTTCTAATATTTTTTCAATGTCTAGGGTTCTAAATATAATTTAATTTATTAAAAAATCAAATAGAAATTATAAATAATATAAAAAACTTAATTTTAAAACAATGATTTTTATTAAAAATAAAAAAATAAAAGAAGATAGTAATAGTTTCTACCAAAATACATATAGAAATTAGTAAGATAGTTAAAATGTCTAAAAATAAAATATTTATTAAGAAAAATGTGAATATTAATAATAATATCATTTTTATCTTAAAATATAATTTTTTTATATTTATCATAATGTTAAGTATATAAAATTATATTTTTTAAAATTTAATAAGAATAAATGTTAAAAAATATTAAAATTATAATTTGAAATATTTTTTAAATTTATAAAATTTTATTTTTGGTAAGAAAATAATAAAAAATCAATAAACATATAAACATCTTATTTTAATTATATATATATATATATATATATATATATTTAAACTTTTACTTTGTCGATTTGAAAATTCTATAAAGTAATATCCACTTGAGTCATAGTAAATGATAATTATAGAATTATTAAGTAAATAATATAAAAATCCAAAAAAATACTTATTGAAATTTAAATATATGCATCAAAGAATAATTCTTTTTTAAAACTAAGTCAACTTTAAAATATCTTTAATTATTGAAACTATAATTTTATTTGACATAAATTCTTTTATTAAAAAATAATATCATATTGAATAATAAGATGAAACTCAATTAAAAAAATCACATATGTTATTACACTATTAAATTATAATTATTATATTAAATATTAATTAAGTACTTAAGCTACTAATATATAAGAATATAAATATTATAGTTTTTATATTTAATTGAGAAATTAAATAATAACTTTTCAAAGAAGTAATTGATTAAATAATAAATATTTTGAAAAATATTTTAAAATTTTAACAATTACTACTCTTTAATGTGTACAAAATAAAAGTTTCTACAAATTCTTTATTTGAATTAATTTTATAGTTTTATACAAATGGAATCTACTATGCAAATTAAATTTGAAATGGTATATTATTCTTTATTTTTTAGTCTACCAATAAAATGCCATATTTATAGAAAAAATTAATTATGGATTTGCAATAGAATCTTGTACAACTAAAAATATAAAAGTTATTTTTCTATAAATTTGACTATTATTTTAGTCTCATATATACATATATATATATATATATATATATATATATATATTCACACACATATAATTCAATTAATTTTTTTTGTCCATAATATTATTAATAATGATCGATGTAATAGAAATCCTATTTGATATACACTACAAAATCTCATTGCATAATACCAAGGTTCAAACCAACTACAATATGATAATCTAAGTAAGATGAAGTTTGTATAGAAAAGTCTATGTTTTATAAATAACAAAGTCTAAATTAAATCTAACATGATTTTTTATAGTTAGAAAGAACCAAATTATTTTAATAACCAATGTATTTGATTATCATAATGTCATATTAACAATTGTTCAATTTTTCTAAAAGCATTGTTGCTTATTCCTTTGATTTAATAGAAATCTATGATAGTCAAATATACTAATATAACTATCTTATATATTTATAGAACTTATACCTAAGATACTTCAGGCATAATTTTCTTTAAAATTCTTCTTCTTCTATTTTAATCTCTAAAAACATCTCAATTTAATTTTAAATGAGATTAAAATATTTCCAATTTTTTTCTAAAATCATAAATAATATTCTAAACTAAAGATTTGCAATATATACATAAAATAACCAAGAAAAAAAAGACATTTTGTTACAAAATATTATAAAATAATAATATGTTCATATAAGAGATTCTTTTATCTTACAATTTACATATCATTATATTTTTTATTTCTTTATAATTTTTTGTATGCCTTACATAAATTCTCTTAGTATCTGAATTACTCATTACTATTTAAGATTGATTCAATTTTTGATATCTTTTCTCTACAAATATTTATTTCATTGAATTGGAACAAGTCAATTAGTAAAGCTAGCACTATTGATTGATATGACTTGACTAAGGTAGGTCTACCAAACTTCATTCGACTAAGTAAACTCTTATGATAAGATTATCCTCCTTTCAAATTAATTTTACTTCCAAAACATTTAATATATATATATATATATATATATATATATATATCTTTGTATAATTTCTTTATATTTTTGCAATCATTCTTCTGTAATTGTTCGGAAATTCAAACATTGTTTTGCATGTATTGCCTATTGCATCCAAGGCAATCTAGTATTGAGTAGTTGAATGTGGTTAAATTATTGAATAGAGTTGCAGTTTTGGAAAAAATTGATCTTTTTAAAAGGCTACAACATACTCAATGACATCCTATCATTGTTGAGTAAAAAATATTTTTATTTATTGGTTGCATTGGTATAAATAATTATTTATGAGTTTTATAATTTTAGTATAAATTGATACAAGTTTGACAAAAACAATCATTCATAAATTAGAAATTATATGTTCTTTCTTTAGCTTAATTTAATTCTGTACCAATAAGTTGCATAATTAATGCTTTAATCCATAAATGCAATCACAGAATTTGATTTTGCTCTTGATTCAAATTAGACTTTCTAATTCTCTATTTCTATTCTAATCTCTTAACTTGATCAAAAAAATTATCTAAAATTCTTCTCTTAGTACAAAAAATTTTAACTTGTTTTTATTGGTCTTATATTTTAAAATATAGTTCTACAACATAACTAAGTTTGCTAAGTAAATTCCAACTTTAATCCTTGTTAAGGTGTGTTTTTACATTGTAGCATCAAATTTAACCTTCTAATTAAAAACAGATGATTTTTACCTTCTTTAAGCTCTTTAAATACGCCTTGAATTTGTTTTTGTGTATTCCGAGCTATTCCTTGAGTTTGTAAGTCTCTTCTATTGTATATATATATATATATATATATATATATTGCATAAATTTATTACAAAACCTTAAAGTTTTTAATTTTTTAATTGTGTATATATATATATATATATATATATATAGACCAATTTCAATTTCAATTTCAATTCTTCAGATCAAATTCTCTTCATGTGAAATCTCTTTCCAAGACAAGTATATATTTTATTTTTATTTATTTTTATCATGTTTGAGTTGGAACTCAAAATAATCTTGACCTTGGACAACAATTCATTATTAATTAAAACTAATTATATATGGGGTAATATTTTTTAAAAGAAACTTTGTAATTAATAAACCAATAAAATTAAGACATTGTATGTTTTAAGAAGTTATCAAATTTATAGAGAATATGTTTATCTAATTAAGTACAGGTTAACGCTGTATTTTGATTTATGCCGCTTTCTTTTTACAGTGTCATTAAATTATTTTTTGTAAAAGTAATTTGTAGTAATGTTTTTTTGCAAATTTACGGGCAAATCATTCTGTAAGTAAAGTTTAAAATGTTGTTCGATCTTGTATTTTACTTTTAAACTGTTTCAAGAGGATTAAAATAAAATTTAAACACATCCATTGAATGTTGTCGTTATTGTTTTTAATATGATTATTATTTTCTCTTCATTATAAGAATTAAAATAATTAAAGATGTGAAACTTATATGATTATAGAAGTTAAATTAATTTCATGATGTTTTAATTTTCTAATCCCAAGCCTAACCATAAACACTGTCTTCTATGTTTCAAAAGTGACCATTAAGTTTTATTGATGTTATTCAACAAGCACAACATTTCCATGTTGCAATATAAACTATGTGCATTGCTTCCTTTTCTAATTTAAAAGTTACCAGGTATTTACATATATATTAAAAAGAGAGTGGACAACACACATTTATGTCATGATTTTTAACAAACATATAGAACACATAAATAAGTTATTTGAAGAGCAATCAACCCATCAATCAATCAAATCTCCCATTATTACTAAGCATGTTGAAATATATACTTTGGTCCGTAATGTACATGCCATCTCAAGGTATAACCCATTCATTTTTCCCAAATTCAAAGGTTCTCAATGTATTCTAGAATGGGATTAAAGTAGTCTATGAAAAACTAATCAACTATATTGGAACAGTATTGGTCAAAGAGAAAAGGGAGAGCACACACACACACACACACACACACTCATTCACACTCACAAACCCAGCAAGAGGAGGAGGATGTGGAGGAGATGAAAGAAGAGGCCAATCTCAATTCCTAAGGCTGAGAAAGCTTCCTCAGGCACTCACATAGCCAAGCCTCACACATCAGGGTGGATGAATGAAGAATCGACTGATGAACGAATAGAAGAGGAGGATGAAGAGCACCAACCCCGCCCATATTCGAGCTAAGCGGAGCGCGGGGGCGGGATAACATTGAATTGAGAGCTGAATTGAGATCGAAGGGAATTTTCGAAACTGCTGGACATTCTATTCCATCTCTGGGCCTCATCCCCCTGCCCTCCCTCCCTGATCGAGCCCCCCTTGCGAAATCGCAGTTCGGCACCTGGTGCGGTAGCGGCATCAGCAGCAGGCAGCAGGAGCAGCTATGGCGTCGTCGGCCATGTTGGCAAGTCAAGCGCCCACTGGAGCGTCGGGCGTAGCGGTGGTCTCGGTTCCGCGCAGTTCGGTGTCGGGGTCATCGTCATCCACTACGCAGCTTTCGGTCAAGTCGTTCGGGGCGTCGTCGACGTTGCTGTGCGGCGGGGAAGTAGTGCAGAAGCAGGCCGGGTTCGGGAGCGTGCCGAAGAAATCTAACGCCATGACGTTCGCTCCTCGTGCGCAATCGCAAGGTGCGAGTCGCTGTGATGTGGTTTTGGTTCAGTTTCGAGGGGCGTTTTGTGTTGCATTTGGTATAATTGAGTGACGTTTCGGGAGTCCTTTGTAGGGTATGTTGGGGGAATTGGCTACTAGATATGGCATTGTGTCGGGAGTGAAGAGGTTTTGTTTTTGTGGTATTGTCTAATACAGTTAGTCGTGGCGGGGGGGCGGGTAGTTTGTCTCTGGAGAAGTTGTGGTGTGTGTCTTTGTCTCGTTCGTAGCTTCCTGCATTGGCTGAGTCGCTCTGCGGAAAGTGACCATATCCGCCACTTGTCGACCCTCGCTTGCATTGCGAAGTTGTTTGACGTTTTGGGAGAGAATGAACGTGTTTCTGGCCGATTTTACTGTTTTTGTCCTTTCGAATTTGCGAGTTTAAGAATTCAGGTCGTGGTCCTGACGTACTTACGATGTCTTCATAACTTTTCATGCGCTTCACTCCTGGTTGTCGCATGCTCTGCAAATTAGTTGTTGAGTTGAGGAACACAAATTGTTGATTTCAACAGTTTCCATTACACTTGAAATTATTATGTCACCCTCCAATCATGTGTTCTACCACTGAGATTGTAAACCGGTCGCGCAAGTGGATGCGAATCATGTACACAACTGTGGTAGTGCTTCACGAACCCCATGTTTTAGCTGGATCTTCTGATTGGAGAGCAACTACGGAGTTGAAGGATATACAAAATAGATTATGTCTTGTGTTATCAGCGGCAATTTACCTTTCCGTGAGTCTTTGAATCTGTGTCCTCGAATCATCTCTAATGAAGCTTAGCCCTGCCATTGCGATTTTCTGGTGGAAGCACTTGGTTCGATAGATTCTACTCGTTACTTCCAGCTGGACTGATGTGAATTGTGTGTCCTGGTAAATGTTGTGAGAAACATTTGAGGATTCTGACTAAGTTGTAGCAAGTGAATCGTATCGCAATCATTTGTGGAGAAGAGATAGTACTTCTAAATGGGGATCCCTAGGTCAATTATAACACCGCCCTCCTGTCTACTCAGAGCGTAGCAAAACACTTGACAGGTTTGGATGTTGTTCAAATGCAGCTACCCAGGCTCTTACTCAAGATGAGCTGAAGAAAATCGCTGCTGAGAAGGTGCTGTTGCATGATTTCTACCATAATTTAAAAACAATATCCCTTGGTAGTAAATTCGTGTTGTTTTGGTCAGATATTATAGAGAAATCGATGTACTCTTAGTGCTTAGTAATGTTATCGGGTAAATCGATCGTGTTTAATTTACGATTCGTGTCTTGTGGTTGCAGGCAGTGGAATATGTCAAGAGTGGCATGGTTTTGGGTTTGGGCACAGGCTCCACAGCTGCATTTGCAGTTGCGAAGATTGGCGAGCTTTTGAAGGTTTGTTTAATCGTCCTCGTTGTTGCGGAAGCTTGTGTATCTTGAATGTAGTCTTAAGTTCCAAATTGTACGTGTTTTCATATTTTTATTATAGTGGTGGGATGTGACCCTTCAATGCATAGCCTGAGCCTCTTCATTGGGAAGATGTACACTGGTGCTGAAGATCCGCAAATTTTGCAGGAAGGAAAGTTGACGGATATCGTTGGAGTGCCTACTTCAAAGGTAGGTCCAGCTTTGTCATGAATTTAGTCTATCCCTTGATCTTATGCACTCAAACATCCTTTGAAACCTTTTAACCGATTTTTTCTATCCACATGTATGAGGTTCACCATTAGTATGGTTGTTATAGCAGATTAGAATCTGGATGTTGTCGTTTACTCACAAATCTTGTTGATGTCGCAGAGAACGGCAGAACAGGCTGCATCTCTGGGTATTCCTCTTTCTGTTTTGGACGATCATCCTAAGGTAATGGTTGCAGTAAAGCCTATTCATATAAATGTCTTTTGGAAGTATCTGAGTAAGCATGGACGTATCTAGTGTTTCGTTCATAACTATCAATTTTGAGGCTTGGTTTCTGTATTGGAATTAGCAAATTTCTAATTATGCTGAACGTACTAATGAAATAGACACTGACATCACCTTGCTTGAATTTTCTAATGTTGACATCAGATTGATTTGGCGATCGATGGAGCCGATGAAGTGGATCCCGATCTCAATCTTGTGAAGGGGCGAGGTGGAGCTTTACTTCGTGAAAAGGTATATTTTTGTCTCACAGAAGCAGTGTTTGTCAGAGATAGCATCGCTGTGTATGAACTTAGATGCTTGTTAGGTGCTTTATCCCTACTCGTATTTTTTTATTTTTTATTTTTTATTTTTTTATTTCTTACTGCTTGATAACGATTCGAAACCTCATGATTCTGATGGTTCGTGTTTTCATAGATGGTGGAGAAAGCATCAGCAAAGTTTGTAGTCATTGTTGACGAAACCAAGGTGATTGTTTTTACTCGTCTCTCTTACTGCGGGAATGATGATTGTTCTTACGAGGGACGGACGATTTTGATTCGATTGGAGTTTGTGAAGCTTTCCCATAGTTTTGACTACTGCCTATAATGATACATCACATGCTATGTCCCTCTCTGGTGTTTTTCTTGCATAATTTCTGTGTAAGCAGCGATGATTTGTTTATGAATTGTCAGTCACATATGGCTTGTGAATACTGCAGTTGGTGAAGGGACTTGGAGGCAGTGGATTGGCTATGCCTGTGGAAGTTGTCCAGTTTTGCTGGAAGTACAACGCTGAACGCCTGAAGAATCTTCCAGAAGTTGCTGGGTGTGAGGTATGCTGATTCGCCTCCACTTTTGTTTTGTCCTATCTGCAGTTGGTCGGAATGGATTCTTTTGTGGTATTGGGTACCAGCGATATATGTGACTCAAATACTTCATGTTGTTGGTGAACTATTCTGGTCTCTACTTTAAATACTGACAACATCTTTGTTTCTCCTTCTAGGTTGAACTGCGTATGGATGGAGACAAGCCGTATGTGACTGACAACTCGAACTACATCATCGATCTTTATTTCCAGGTATTAGAGATGTGTGAATCTTTACGCGGAGCGCACGAACATGTGTTACCAATGTGATAGCGTGTTAGCCCTTTCATGTATAGACCCAGCACCATCTTCAGTTCGATTTTAGTGGTTAATTGAACTTGTTTTATTGAACCTGTCTGCAGGAGCCCATTAAAGATGCCAATGCTGCAGCTCACGCAATTTCTGCACTAGAAGGTGTGGTAGATCATGGTCTTTTCTTGAACATGGCCAGCGCAGTTATCATTGCAGGCTCTGATGGAGTAACTGTTCAAACCAAGGATACATAGGTATTTAGAGAGGACAACTCGTTAATGTTTCACTTATTTAGATTGACTGTTGTACGCTTCCTAATGAAACTGCTGCAACAAGGCGGATTCTCTAAATACAACTATTTTGTAGACACCTCTGTTTTCTGACATTATCGCTATTGATGACTGTTGTTGGGATTTGCGTGTTCAACCAAGTGATGCATTAATGTGGGCCTACCAATATCCGTAGATGCAGCTTGTATGTAGCAAGAAGAGGATAATAACTTCTGGTGCATATCCATTCTGCATCTGTTAGTTCGTGTTGATATGCGTAAGTGCATGCTTGCAGCTCTCGTATTCATAACTTGCGCTCTTGATAACCTCATGCTTTCATCGGAATTCTAGACTTTGAGTTGCACGCCTTACGTCCTCGCTACTGCAGCTGGTAAGTGTCCTATGTGTGGGCTAACGGAAGTTGTTTATACACGTTTGCAATCGCGTCTCTACTAATAAATAACAATAATATTAAGAATAACATGTATCAATGTACTGTTGTCTGTAGCACTCAACATTCAACTTTCGCGAAAATTTTCAACCTGAACTACATCAAGCTTACAGAGCAACAAAACGAATAGTGCAGTGAAGGCAGAGCAGATCGTCTTCGCATTTCTTGAGCAATGGGTAAGATTGTATTGGAAACACTCTTTGCTGCAAAATCTTTACATAAATGTAGACGCTGGTATTCGTAGGCCACCTTCGCTGTCTTTGCAATGTCAAGTCCTTACGATATCCTGCTGCTTGCTATCAGTTGCGAAAAACATGTTCGCGATGAGTATCAATATCAAGGTAGCTGCTATCATCCTCAAATCGCATTGTGAAGTAAGCTACGGATAGTTAGTGTGTTGCTTATGGCTGTTACTTCTGAATGTATTATTGAAGTTACTTAGTCTTCTTGTGTGTATGTGAACATGAGTAAAACATTTTACGTCTATTTGTATGTAAGTAAATATATCTATAATATAATTAAAACGTTGTGTAATCTTTATTGATTTTTTTTTTTTTGGTTAAAAAGATAGTTTACTTAACATTTTTAATGAAGTTTATTTTTACAGTAAATATTATGTTTTACTAACTGACAACAGTGTATGCATCGACCACAAATCAATTTTATCATTGTTTGGCAACTTGTAATATGTCATGAGTTATGTTAATTAATGACACTTTCCAAAAGTAATTATGGTTGTTTTTTTTATTTTTTTATTTTTTTTTATTTTTAATTGGAATTTTAATAGAATAAAGAACATATTGGCAATAAGCTTTTAAAATCTTTTGAAAGGCTTTGCAAGAGATATTGCTTACACATGGATAATTATTGTTTTTTTTGATAAGAACAAAAATGCCCAAAATTTTCTTAAGCTTTAAGTTAAGTTTTGATTTTTTTTTAACCTATTGTTACTAAGAACCTTTTGTATGTTGACAACATACAACATACATATGACAATTGAGTTGTATGTTGTCTAATAAAACAACAAGTTAAACTAAATATGTGATTTTTTAACAATAAATCTACAATTCTGTTATAACTGATAAATTCATTCTTAATATATTTATCATGCAATCAATTTGTAATGTGAGTTGTTTACAAGTTTTTTAAAAAATAAGAATATGTGTTTGACATTATATCAAATATATAATTATACTTATATTAATATAGAGTTATTTGATTTGTTTGAATAATTAGTAATTGATAATTAGATTAATAATTCAAAAGCTTAGGTGAAATGAATAGCATAGGATTAGGTTTGAGAGACAAGAGAAGCCTTTTTATTGGAATGAATGGTGAGGCCTACTATTTGACCACAAATAAAGGCTTTTTATTAGACCAAATAACAAGGCTTCTTATTTGACTATATGTAGAGATTCTTAATAAGAAAAAATAACAATCTTATCTTATGAGGCTAAAGTAAAGAGAAAGAAATAATATTTTAAGGATTAAATAGAAGTGAAAAGGCACCAACAAATAATATGTTTGAGTAAATCAAAGAAATTAAGTGTTAAAATATAAAAGGGAAATTTAAAACAAACTAAGTACTTTGAGTATTAAAATAAAATACTAAGTATTTTTTATATATCTTTTATGTTTAATTTATTAAAATATAATTTAGATTATTAATTTTAATATAATTTTTTTATATATAAAATCTTATTGAACATTTTTTTATAATTTTTTCTTAAAATCTTAAAATTATTTTTTTATGAATGTAAAGCATATAACATTATGCTTAGGATTCAATACATTTACTATCTAAAATATATATATTTTAGAAGATAAAGTAATACTTCAAAGATAGTAAATATTAAAGATAGTAGATAAAAGTATTATTTTTTTGTATAAGACTTACCACAACAATAAACCTTGTGCTTCCTAAATATATCATAATCTTTGTAATAACAATAGTATTGAGATTTAATCCTCTTAATTCAAAAGTATTAATTTGCCTACTTGTTGTGCTTTGTAAAAAGTCAATAATAACTTTAATAGATTCTATAAAGTATTTACAGTCTTTTATCTTTAACTTTATAAGAAAAATTAGATTACTTTATTATCAAACAATTTTAGCCATGTCTTCTCTTTAAACATCAAAATACCAAGAATTCACATAAAGAGGTCTCTAACTTCTATTAATAAGACAAAATGATAAAGAATATTGAAGAAGCTTCTTATAATATTAATTTTTAAATATTCCTAGACAAAATTTGCTCAAAACATTATACTTTATGAGAGTGAATAATATAGTCTAATGCCTTTTAGTTTAGGACATAATATTAAGATCTTAAAAAAATACTCAGATTACTTCTTTAAAACAAAAAAATTGACATTATTCCTTCTACTATCAAGAAATAGTCTTACACAAAACATGTCATTGGTAACTTACATCTTCACAAATACAAATTGAATTAAAAGTTTAAATGTTATTGCCAATATTTTTTCTTGTATTATTGGCTTAGATTTGATATTATCATCATTATTGGTACAGATACTAAAATATAAACTGACAAAATATTACAAATCTTATAAGACTAATGTGGTATGTAGAAACCATTGCCTCTGCTGCCAGATCTTATGATTAATCTATTACTAGAATTGTTGAGAACAAAACATTTATTCTTCATGAACACAACCATGTTACCTCTGTCGATCAGTGTGTCTACTGACATGAGATTACGCTTCAAGGACGGGATGTAAATAACGTTATCCAACTTTATTTGTCTTCTCTTGTGCACATGTAACCATCTCCTATTCCTTCAATCTTGTGTTTCTCTCCTCCTTTAGTGGTAACTGATTTTCTCCTATCACCTATGCTTTCAATGAATTCTAAGCATTGTTTGGATCCCGTGACATGTTTAGTTGCCCCCAAATCCATGTATCAGCTACACCCTTTGTCTAGATTGGTTTGCAGTTTGATGAAGGCCACCTCTGGTACCTCTTTGATCGCTTCTTTTTTTGATTCATCATTCTGCTCGTCGTGATCTTCTACTGAATTTGCAGAATTTGCATGCAACTCTATTGGACCTTAGCGGTTTCTGCAAGCTTGTGCATAATAGCCTCGTTTGCCGCAAACGTAGCACACGACCTCGATTTTCCCTTTTTACTCATGCGCCTTCTCAAATGGTGAACTTCCCTTGCTTAGGTAGCTGGCAAAAGCACGTCCTCAGCCTTGACTGTATGAGCTCCTTCCTCCTCTTGAGGTAATTTTGGCTCCTTCGCAAAGCTACACTGACAACGCTTCTTTATCACCCAAATGCAGATTTCGGTGCTGCAGCTTGTGGTGCTCTGTCAACAGCACTACATTTATTCTATCAAACGTGAGGAACATCGCACTATTTGTGGTTGTAGGTATGATGTACTCATATGATCTTGGTAGACTATTGAGTACAACTTGAACTAATCTGTGATCAAACACCAGTTCTTCCCACGCAGCCAGGCAATTCTTGAGCTCCCTTGCCTTGTTGAGATATTCTTCCATTACTCCTCCCTCTGGCATCTTCATCTGGTTTAGTTGGTTTGTGACGAACAAAACTATGAATGGATCTCCGTTTTGATAAAGTGCTCTTAGCTTTTCCCATGCAGAAGCGAGATCCTCGTGTTCTGCTACAGTATCGACCTGCGAGTCTTTCGCTGACATGGTGATCGCTCTGCATGCAATGGTCTTCAGGTAACATGGTTGTTGCTCTGTTCCGTGTCTTCTGCTAGGTAGAACGGCCAAAAATATTGTCGGTGAGATCGCACTTTCAACTACCTCCCACGAGTTCTCACTCTGAAAAATGGCCCTTATTTTTAACCTCCACACATGGTAATTACTGAGTCCCTCTAGTTTATTAGATTCGCCTACCGACAGATCTCTCCGTTCTGCCATGTTCTCTCACGGAAGCTAGTCACACTTTCTCACACTATTTTACTGCTGATCTTCTCGCAGGGCCAGGGACAGCACTCATTTTGGTCTCTGAATACACTCTCTAGTGTTTCCGTGCAAAGCCCTCATGTCCTACCCTCTCATCAGGGCCAGGGATCGCTTTGATGCCGTGAAAACGATGAGCTTTACTTCAAGAGATAATTTTGAGTCTTCAGCCAAAGGCTTATATACAAAGGATATCAGATGTACTAGTAGTAGTGGCCCTTATTACAAATTGCGCGCGGTTAAGCTTTCATCTCGTGGAGATAGTTCACACAATATGAACTGACTCTGTTTGCTGATGTCATCCCTCAGATGAATGATATACAGGGGAGAGGGTGCTTCGTTCATTTCTAACAGAAACACTATGGATATGTACAATGCCAGATTGAAGCCAAAAGGTCTGCAACTGCAAACCATCGGATCTGTAACTCATCGCTAACAACAGTCGCAAAAGTATCCAAGCGAGCATGAAACTTGGTTCCTTGGTAATCCTTCCACTTTCACTCAACACAGTGTTAGACAACACAAAGTCCAAGATACAGAGAAGAAATACAAAATAACCAAAAACAACAGAAAAAAGCAAACACCGCAAAAACAAGCTTTCTAGTCCGGGTAAGATCAGAGATCAGGATAGACATGGCGACATCGACGTTGGGGTCCACTCTAGGGGAAGAGAAACGGCAAATCTCGAGAGGCATAGAAGTGGTTACTTTTGCAGGGAAGACGGGGGAGTGGGAGTGCCGAGGCGAGAGAATCCAGGAGCTCTATGAATGGCAAACCAGCAAAGATGCAGCAGAGAAGGGATATTCTCCAGGTAGCGAAACTTCTGAACGAGAAAGAAGGAGGAGTGTGGGGATTGATGATGAAGGAGAAGAAGAAGAAGAAGAAGAAGAAGTGAATGATTCGCAGTTCGTGACGTGGAGAATCCGGCCATCGATTCTGTGTTGGTGGGGGCGAGACTTGGCTTCGTCAGAGGGAAAAAGCCTCACCCACCCCACACACTCACTCACACACACACTTACTAGTAGCCGCATCCTGGTAGAGTTTTTTTTAGTAGCACTGTGTGTGTGTGTGTGTGTTATAGAAAGTGAGTTTTGTGTGGTGTATGCGGCGCGCGGCACGTCGTAGCTCGGTCCAATTTGGCTCTTTCTATCACACGCTGGCAGCATGTAAAGCTATGGATTCTAGGCGGCTGATGAGTCCGAGTCAAATCTGGAGCCTGGATACTGTTTTATGACAGCGGAGGCTTAGAACTTAGCCTTAGCGATTAACTTGCCAATGGGGTTCACTGCATGCACGCATGGGTTATAACGGCCTGCCGCATCGCACAGAATCACGAAGAGTTGTTCTTCTGCACTATGGATATCATGGCGTCAACGATACCCAGGTTCTTCTTACTTCTCAATGCGAAGTTTCAAATTTGGGTGGGTTCGTTTCGGGGCGTGGGTTTGGACGCTGTCGTTTGGAATATGAAAAAGAGAATCTCTGTGCTTTGTAGTTGCATCTCACCGTTGGGGAATTGTTTGAGAGTGGTAATTGTGAGATGATTATGCAGTTATAACTTGGAGTTATGGTTGGATGGTTTTGGAGATTGCACTGTTCATTGTTTTTTGTCCATAGATAATATCAATTTTTGTATGTATTTCTAAAACAAACCAATGATTAGATGTTTTTTTGATTCCCTTAATTGATTCTGTTTCAGGAGAGGCGTTGCCACCTGACGGTGTTAGTTTAATATGGAGGATCTGCTTCATAGTGTTGTTGCTCTGGAGAGAAGTTGCACCTTGCTCAGTTCTATTCAATTATTTCTCGTTTAGCAGCACTCAACAACGAACTTCAACTCTCCGGAACAACTCAACAGGATTCAAATGTTCACAGATTATTCGGAAACAAATCTTTGATTCTGACAAAATTTAGCTATTTCTGAGGAGAAAATTAGCGACAACGTATTTGATAAACACTCTTAGCGGAGTGTCGTGCTACCTCCAACGAAACTCTCACCTCCAGCAATGTTTCTAAGTTTATATTTTTGCAGCTGGATAAAGTTTTATGGACGAATTGACGTACTATGCACATAATAAAGATATCGAGTCTAAGATCCAAATCTTTCAAGAAGCACGTATCTGAAGGATCAATGCTACAATCTCCTCTAGATAATGTTATCTGAGAAATTGCCAACGGTTTCGAGTGACGTTCCAGATGGGTAGCCCTCAGCGACCGCTCATGCATTGATCTTTGCCTGCTCATTCATGTATTTTTTTGCAAGACAGCAGCAGATGTTGCACTTTTTTCCACATTCTGTACCATGGTTCCATGCTTGCCATTCCCTTTGGTAGCGGCGTTCACTTCAAAGTTTCCTTCAGGGTTTGGCCCTGATGGCGGTCGTCGCCGAGGAACGCCTGTCGTTTGGATTTGCTTGGTATTGTGCACAATTGGGGATGTCACATTGAATGTCGTGCCTCGATGGATAGAGCCCCTCAATGTGGGTGGCATCTCCTTGTCGCCCCAGAGGATTGCGGTAGAATCAGCCATCTGAGACAATGTGACCAGCAGAAACAATGCTAAACACGACACAAGCAACAGGAGAGTTTTAAAGAGCGCCATTCACTGCGGATGGAGTGCTAATTCGCTGAGATAGTTCGTCAAGGGACGCATTTGAGAATGTTACTGAGACGGAATTGGTTGTAAATAGTGTCACAGGCAAGAGCAGCTTCACCTTGCAATCAATGTGTATCGCTAGAGATGAGCAATGGTGGAATGAGTAGCCAAGGGCCAGATGGTGGTCGGATCGGTTCATGTACGCCGTGAGCAGGCATTGGATACGCAAACGTCGAGCCTTACCTCGTCTCTGCGTAACATCAGACAATTTGTAATCGAATCTAAACCAGTGCGTTTCTCTGTTTAAACAATCCTCTCTTCTGATCACTACTGGTAATATTGCTGTGGGCAAGTTATGTGGACATTTCTTTGTCATGTTCCTTGGGCAACGAAGAGGAGCTTGCCAAAGAAACTGGACGTAGTTTTCCGTCATATTAGGGTTATTGGGTAGAAGTGTCTTTAATGCAGAACAGAAATTGTATACCACACCCAATTCGATAAGCATGTAAAATCCTTTGAGTATTTCATTCTCTCACAGCCAAGAAATGTAAGCCCATAGTGGTGGTACTTGTCGCTTCTGATCGCGGTTTGTTGGTGACTAAGAATCGGTATCGTCTTAACTTACAGCTTGAAGAATTGCGCCTTGGTTACCAACAATCGTAGAAACGCAAATCAATAGGCTGTACAGTCTTTCAATTTATCACAGAATGTTGAATATAGACGTGATAAGATTTATTCGTGGCCACAAGAAACACGAACTAAGTTTACAAGCTTGTTGGAGAGTGATTCCTTGGCTGGCTATCATACAGGCATGAAGATGTGGCGAAAATTCTTATGCAAACTCTACTGACAACGAAGGACAACTGCACAACCTACGTCGCCATCGTCCACCATTCCGTTCCTCTCCTCAAAACGGCATGCCCGAATTCAAACTGTTCTCCCTTTCAGGAGGCACTACGCCACTGCTTCTGACCCCGATGGGCTTCCCCTCTAATTGGAGCATGATGCCTCCGAGAACCTCGAGCATGCATTTATCGAATTCAGGTTTATCTACCCTCCCAACAGCGTCATCATCTATCATTTTGAATGACTCGTTAACAACACTGTCCATCTACGCAACCATAGCGGAAGTTAGGAATACGCACAAATATTTCGTTACATCTAGGCATTCGAGGAGGGAGAGGCACAAAAACCATGCATCATCAGTCATTTCCAGCTCTGAAATTGAACAGCGTACATCCCGTAACAATGGTGGCAGCTCTATATGTAGCCAGATTGTGACATGAAGCGTGGATAGCAATATCGCATACAATGGTCAGATTCATAATTTTAAAGGTGAGCAAAGTGAGCTCTTACCTCAGGCACTGCTCCTACAGGGGGTAAACCTGCATGTGGCGCCAATGTGTCCAATCCAACACGGAGGTAGCTCTTCGGTGCAGAACCATTGCTCGTCTTGGGCATGATCTCCCACGCTAACTCCAAAGCCTATTGAAAAAAGTTTGCGATAAGAATACACAAGACACATTGGCAGGCTTGGAAATAAACAGATAGTGATAGCTAGATGGATAGATGAATAGGTAGATACCAGAAACACATATTGAAGATATGAATATGATATCGATAATGTGGCTTGAAGCTGCATTTTATGTAAAGAGAGGATGAATAAACTCAAATCAATACATTGCAGAAATTATACATGCGCAAATCCTAACGCTAAGTGCGTGTATTACGCAAATTTGAGACTGCAAAGTGAGAGAGAGAGAGAGAGAGAGAGAGAGGGAAACATACCAGGTCCAAAGCAGCCTTGTCCTTCAGGAGAGTACCAATAAGTTTACCATCGAAAATCTTTTCAGTATGCGCCACCGTCAGAGGTTTGTTTTGCATCTGCCTAGCAACTGCGAGTGCCACCTTCCTGTATACATCCACAAACTGAAACTGGTCCAAGTCCTGCTTCACGTTGATTCCAACTTCCTGAAATGCTCTGTCAATGTACCCGGAAACCTGCAACGATCAACATTGTCAATACACGTTTTGTTTGACGCAATCTCGATGTTACCGAGAAAAGCATATCTCCGATAACACCCCCTCGGGAATCAATGCTCCAAATGTGGACAGGATGGAGGCAAGGCTTCATGGTGTTGCACTATGTGACATCTTCAAGAGTAAATTCCAAGTTGAAGTTGCAGAAAAGGTAATACTAATCACGGCATAAAAGGGAAAAAAAAAAAAAAAAAAAAAAAAAAATCAATAAATAAAAAATTACAACATGGCAGGGCTAGAATATTACCGAACCATCGGACTGAGGAGGCATGCCTTGGTCCACGGAAATTCTTCCCATGGCCTTTTTAATAGTTCCAGCTTTCACGTGACCACTGACATCGGTGTCAATAGCACCGAAGGCAGCCACGGCCTCAATCTCAAACTCAGGGCTTCGGGCCCACTGCTCCAATTTGCTTCCATTCAGTCGAGAAATGGCAATTGGTTCTCTCTCGAGGCCATCTCCCAGCCCTAACAGTATGTCACGCATCACAGTCGAGAACGTTTCCTTCGTTACCCCTTCCCCTGACCGTGTAAATTCGCCGAACATCTGCAAGTGATTTAGCACTTTTAGGATTAAGCGTCGGTTTTCTTCCTACAAAGCAAAATCAAAAACAGAAACAAGAATCTTACTTATTTCTGTCTTTCACATCCAAACTTCGGAGATCTAATTCTGGAAGTGCCGCAACGCTCTCTTGTTAGAAAGTGCTCTCCAGCACTCAATGCACACTCTGGCGTCTGTCCCACTATGCAAACTTAAACCTACAGTAAGAAGATTTTTGTCTTGTTTTGTTTTTCTTAAAACCTAAAGCAGACATAGAGTTTTGGATTGAGACCTCAGAGTAGATGTGATCGGCCTCAGGGTCTTTGCCCATAGGAGGCATACCCAAGGCCTTTCCCACCCCAGAGATGGCTGGTTCGAGATCAGAGTGTTTCAATTTGCCCGTGTGGCCCTTATCAAGTTTAGCAAATTTCTCATCAACGAACTTGGACCACAATTGGTCATTCTCCACAAATTTCTTCAACGACCTCCCGTCCATCAGGGTCTCCGCCATCTCGCACAGCAGGGATGAATACCACTCACGTTCTGCAGCAATGAATCAGCTACTCTTCAAAATGTACACTCAACGCTACACACAGAAAATGTGCCCACAACTTGCAAACAAGCAGCAATCTGATCACTACCCCTAAAATAAATCACAACTAAACGAATTTCTCAGCTTCGAAGATCGCAAAACTCTTCCTTTCTCTCACAGATTATATAGAACTATGCCCTGGTATTCAATCAGCTTGTGAAGCACTTCGAAGATTAGATACTTGGATGCTTTTGGCGATGGAGTGGCGGAGGAGAACGGCGTGGGAGACGCTTGCGATGCCAAGTGGCGGCCACAAACCAGGTGGCGCAAGCTCTTGCTCCAGTTTATTAAATGGCCATTGTCAGAATTGGGAAATTCTGCGCAGCGGCCAAGGTTTTATTGCGGAGATGCCTCAACGATCCCCTGGAGCCCTCCTCACTTTACTGCAACAGTTGACTGTTTCGCCGCGAAAGCATTGTGGAGGTTGGATTCTCTCTCTGTGTGGGATCGAAAAGCCTCGGAGCGACGCTTCCAACTGGCTCCGTTGCGCGCACCCGGTCCACTTCCCTCGCCGTAAATCTACCATTTCGATGCATCGTTGCTGAATCGGAAAGGTGGGTTGTTCCGACACGGCGATCTCTATTTTTCTCATGCGGTCGCATGCACGGCGTTATCGCCATCTCGCTTGCCCGATTAGTCTCGAAATCAATCGATCTGCTGCTGCTGCTCTTCGGAGTCCCGGTTTCTGCCGAAGCTCGTGGCGGACACTTGCCAGTTTTTTGGCTTCGCAATCCGAGACACTCAAGAATAGTTAAATAATGGGTTTCAAAACATGAAGTTTTGTGAGGTTTCATTACAAATATTTTGGAGAATGGAGAAGCCAACGGAAGAAAAGTAATTACTTTTATTGATAGATTGGTGGTTTGGATATCTTAATTAAAAGAAATATTAGAAATTATTTTAAAAAAATATATATTTTTGTCTTACTTCTAAACTAAAATACATGATGTTTTTGAGTTAATAATTTTTATTAAAGCCATGCTAGTAAGACAATTACTAAGGAATCATAGAATTCATAAACAGCAGCTTCCAAATTTACATAATTTGCAAGTTGAATTTAGTACATAGAATTGTAATAACAATAAATATAAGTTTGTTATTAAGAACATTGTTGTTTCTATATAAAGGTGGTATTTTCTAGATTATTATTATTTTGCAATTGTTATTACTTATTACCAAATTTGTACAACAATTAATTTGATAATAAGTGTATGTATGCCACATTGCTCCATAAAATATTTGTATTTTATAAATTTTAAATTCAAGATCATAGAATTTGTTCCTTTGTTTCTACAAACTTATTTCAAAGTGTAGATTAATTTAGCTAACATCACATGCTCACAAGTTAAATTGTACAAGCAAGATATTAAAGTGTCTCTCTTAGTAAGTATTTGAGGTATTTCCAAAAAGTATGATTATAAGCTTGGAAAAAAACAAACTAGGCTCTCAATGCATTGTTAAGAGAGAATGAATTCAGATTATTTTATTTAGATAGATTTTTAAAGTGGTCATTAAAACAAATGTGAAAACATTGATGAAAATCAAGTCTTATTTTTATAAAAATTTAGACTATTTTATTTTTGTGCAATTACAGAAGATCAATATTCTGTGATAAAAGTATAGATATTATCATGTTTTCACATACCATCTGAGATTTTAAAATAAAATAAAATAAAATGAGTAAATCTTTTCAGTGGTATAGGTTTAGATTTACTTATTTATTTATATTTTGTTCAAAACTTTTATCACATTTTAAAAAAGGAAAAAAGGAAAAAAAAAAAAAAAAAAAAATCTCTCTCATTGTATTGTGGTTATATTTTTTATTTTCTTTTTGGTTTCTTTTGAATCATATCTATCATTATATTTTTATTATTATTATTATTAAATTTTTGGTCTAAAGATTTTTTTTGTAAATACTTATTATTGTCTTGAAAGTGATTTTACAAGTTTCTAGAAAATATCAAAATAAAACTTATTTTTTTAAGCAATTATGGCAATATTCAATAAAATATGGTCAAATTTTAATTAGTTGCAGAATTATTTAGATTTAGACATTATGAAGATGTTGCCTCTCAGCTATGGATTTTATAATTTTTTAAAATTATTATGGTTATAATTTTATCAAAAAAAAAAAAAAAAAAAAAAAAAACTATTAAGATACTTAATCTTAATAGAATTATTACGGATATCCAATAAGAAGATTTTAAGAATATTTTTAAAATATTGTATTAGGTTCTAGAAGATTCTAAAGGATTCTTAGAATATTCTAATATAAGATTCTAATTTTTTTAAAAAATATTTTAGAAAGTTCTAAAAGATTCTTAAAATATTCTAATAGATTCTAGAAAGTTCTAAGAGGATTAAAGAAGTTGTTTGAGAAACTTCTTTAGATTGCTTCATCTTCAAGCAATATGGAACTTTCTTAAGAAGCTTCCTAAGATTATTTTTTCTTCAAGCAACATAGGAACTTCTCAAGAAGCTTCATAATACCTAATATATATTAGAATCAAGGCTGAAAGAATCCTTAGTAATAATAATATATCTCTTGGAGTTTTAGGTCACTTCTTTTGATGTTAATCTTGTACTCATTTGGTTTAATTAAGTTCTTGTTAGCTTTCTTATTGAAACTATTTTGTTCAACTTTTTCTTTGGTTTCTTATATAGTATATCTATTACAATTTCTTGAAATTGCCTTCTTATTAATTCTAGAGCTTGATTCTGCTTAATAGAAAGTAAATTACCCCTCTTGTTAAATGCATCTAAGCACTTTAAAGGTTGTAAAGTATTATCCTTTAAAATGGTATTGTTTAAAAATTCATTTTTTCTCTTTTAAGATGGTTGGAGTTGAAGTTGTTAATATGATTGAATCTCTCAAGTCCAAATTAAATGTTATTATGAACATGTTGAATGATTTATCTTATAAAACTGCTAAAATTTAGGAACTTTTTGGAAGATTTTATAATGATACAAGACTTAGAGTAATTCAATCTGTGATGGAATCACTTTCTTAAGCTTTTACATCCAAATAGGCGGTGGCACATGTACATCAATAAAAAAATTCACCTATTCAACAATGTAATAAGCCTTCAATTAGTCTTCTAGAAAAATTAAATGGTATATGCTCTAAGTTTTGAGGATTAATTAACCAAATTTGATTGGTAGTTTTTCTACAATCTAAGTACTATCTAATAAGGAATTATGAGTTGATTTAATTGAAATCTTATTCATAGGACAAGCCTTATTTTAATTTGCTCTTTTATTTGAGAAGAGATCTCCAATCTTGAGCAACTTTGAAGCTTTTTTTAGAAGCATTTATAAAGATATATGGAGAACATTATAAGGTTTGATGGACAATAACAAAGATTCATTCATTATATCAAGGGTCTTATTCTTCATCAATTTAAACATCTAAGTTAAAGCAATTGGCTTATAATATCAATTCGAATGAACAAGCTTTTATAAGCTAATTCTATTGTAGACTAAGAAATGATGTAAAAGACCTATTATTATCATTATTTAATCGTCAAACACTCAATGAAGCTATTAGCTAAGTTGTAAAGTGCAATAATCAATATCATCAAGATCAATGCTTGTAGACTTTGACAAAGCAATGTATTAGAAATTTGTACTTAATTGCTTTAATAAATGCATTACTTCTATACTTTGGATTTGATGATATGCAAATTGATGTAGTACAATTTAAACCTCTTATAGTAGATAAAAAGAAGTATCAATTTGAATAAGGCATATGCTTGTATTATAGTAAAGAAGGCCACAAATCTAAAAACTATCCAAAAAAATAACATACGACTAATTGTTCAAAAAAATGAAAAATCCCAACTATAATAGGGATCATGCAACTGGACATTTCAATACCTCAAATTCATCTTGGTCCCTCTCTTAAATCTAATAAGGCTAAGATTTTGTGATTTTTTGGTCTTAAATAAACTTCTATTGTAAAACAAGGTAAAGGATCTAAATAGAAAATATGACCTTTATTAGATATTGTTCAAGATTTCAATTGCATGATCTCTATTGTAGCTATAGAAACTTGTTTTTTGAAACCTTATTCTCTTTGGCAACTATTCTCTTTATTTGGAATTGAATTGTTTCTTTGAGCAATGTTGAGAAGTGTGTTTAGATTCTCTACAATATAGGCAAAAATCTTCTTGACAATAATGAGTCTCTTCTTGCTCAATAAGAGATTTAAAACGTATTGTGTCAATTTGCATAGGCTCTGGTTTAGATAAGTAAATTTTTAAAAACTTAGAAGATGTCACTATGGCTTGATTTATATTTCTTCAACAAAATCTTTATTTTTGGCATCTTTCAAAAAATCAATTGTTATATGCAATGGCTTGAGCAATAAATTATTTTAATAAATTTTCTGTCAATATTTCCAACAATAAAATTTTAACATTCTCTTTTAAAATTGATTGATAAGGGCTTTGTCATTCCAATCCATATTACAAGTAAGATTTTGGAATTCAGCAGCATATGTAGTAGTTGAACACGATTTTTATCACAAAAATATAAGTTTCATCTTTGCTATCCATTCTCAATCATTTTTTCCAAATTTAGGCATAAACACTTCTTAAAATGAATTCAAATCATAGAATAGTCATGAGTCTTTTTCCATCAAAGATGCAAACCAAAAAACAAACAGTATTAGAAAAAAAATTCAATGAATGCAACTTAAATAAAACCATTAGAGTATTGAGAAGGATGCAATCTAAGATAAAGCTTTATCTATTATAAAAACTCTTGAAACTTCTCTAGCATACTTATCTAGCATACTTATTCTTGTCTCTCTTATACTTATAGTAGCAAAACTCATTGGATTCAATTGTAAATGTGATTTTTTTGTTTTTCTTAATTGTATAATTTTTTGGTATAGACTTTGAACTTCATTATTGACTTCTTTCATAGGTGTAGGAATAGTGCCTTTATGATTGATATTGAAAATACGTGAGATTTATACTTTCAGAATGTTGATAAGTTCATGAAGATTTGTAATAGTTGCCAATCTATTCTTACTTCTGTTAAGAGTAGCAGCAATAATCTTTCTTTCCAAAAATAACTTAAATAAATTCAAAAAGTTAAATTAGAAGAAATTAATCTGTAATCTCTAATATCAAATTTTTTTTTTACAAAGAAGAATAATTCAATTTCTTTAGGCAAAAAA